GCCAGCTGCGCTGGCAGCTCCATGTCCCGACAGCTTTGGACACACTCCAGACGTGGCTGAGGCCACCAGGCAGCTCGAGTCCCCAGCACCCTCCATCTCTGGTTCCAACTCGCCTACTCTCCCCTTCCACCCGGTGGGGCCCCATACTAACCGTTGCGACCGTCAGCCGTTCCTTTTTTTTCTCTTTTCTTTCTTTCTTTCTCTCTCTCTCTCTCTTTTATTTCTCTCTCTCTCTCTCTCTCTCTCTCTTCTCTCTCTTCATGCATGGATGGGGCGGCCGTCAGCCGTGTGTTCCTGCAGCTGGACTCGCAGTGCTCGCGCGGCCATCGGCCGCCCCTGGCGCAGTGGACATGGACCTTCAGACGTTGCCCTGGGCCAGTTCCCAGCGACACCGCAACTCCGCGAAGGAGTTCCACGGGCGGAGGACTGTCCCCACAGCCCAGGTGCTGCCATCTGCGTTTGGGTCAGGCCCTGGCCCGCCACCGCTCCAGACAACAACTGGCAAAGGAACTCGTTGCCGAAGGCATGGCTCTCGGCGCCAGTGGGGTTGCTGATGTTGGTGTCCTGGAACTCCCTTAGGAAAAAACAAGAACATGCGGCCATCAGCCGGATCCCTAGCAGTCCCTGGCAATCGGACGGCCATGGGCTGGGAGAGGGAGCACCGCGCCAACGCTGTAGAGCAGGCTGACGACTGTTGCCCCCCCAGGGCCACCGGGGCAAAGGTTGGGCCGAGAGGTGCCCGGGATACCCAGAGAGTGGTCGGCCATCTGCTGCGAGCAAGGAGCGTCCTCAGACCAACCCCTTGGGTCGTGGAGTTCTCGCTACCTTTGCGGCCGTCAGCCGTTCCCTGGCTCTCTGTGGGACCATCGATGGTGGGGTCCTGGAATCCCCTAAGGAGAGAAGCATGAACATACGGCCATCAGCCGGAGCCCTGGCAGTCCCTGGCGATCAGACGGCCATGGGCCAGGAGACGGACCACCGTCCCAGCGCTGTAGTGCAGGCTGACGACTGTTGCCCCCCCAGGGCCACCAGGACAAAAGTTGGGCCGAGAGGGTGCCCAGGATACCAAGAGAGTGGGCGGCTACCTGCTGTGAGCAAGGAGCGCCCCCAAGCCTTTCCCCTGGGTCGTGGAGATCTCTTACTAACCTTTACGGCCGTCAGCCGTGCCCTGGCTCTTGCCTCTCTCCCTCTTTCTCTTTCCATATGAGTGGGGCGGCCGTCAGCCGCGTGTTCCTGCATATACAGGGATGGGGCGGCCATCGGCCGTATGTTTCCGCAGTCTGACTCGCATTGTATGTGCGGCCATCGACCGTCCCCTGGCGCTGGGCAGTCCTTGTGGGCCCCTCTCTCCCTGGCCGGCTGGTGACGTCAGTTCCCACCTGCCCCCGCCTCATCTTCCCACGCCACGCGCGGTTCTCCATTTGGACGGGGCGGCCAGTTGTCGTGCGATCCTGCAGCTTGGCTCGCATCGTTTGTACGGCCATCCGTCCCCTGGCGTTGGACCTCCCTGGTGGACGCCTCCTCTCTCGCCGGTCTGGTGATGTCTGTTCCCACCTGCCCTGTCCGCCTTCCGCGCAATGCGCGGTCTCCTCCGTGCGGCGTCCACGACGCACGCCCATGGCCAGCCCTCAAGTTTGCGTCTGCATTCCCTGGGCCCTGGTCTACTGTACGTGCCACGGCTGACCGTGTCTAGCGTCGGCTTCGGGGATTCGCATGCGGTGTTCCGGAGTGGTGCAGCCTTCTGGCAGCTACTGCGCATCCCCCACTGTCGCACTGTCACCGCCCTTTGGCTCGTACCTTGCCACAGCCGTGGTCCTGGCCTTTGGCGCCCTGTGGCGACATGGTCAGTTCGTACCTGGTCACTCGTGCCCACGGTACCTGAGCTCGAACTCGAATGCGCTTGCTTCGTGCTCCGCGTTCCTGGTAGCGCGCCGCCTCCTGGGTTGGCCCAGCAGTGGAAGCGCTCCGCTAGTTTGATGCGTGGTCTGCAGATACAGAGCTGATCGTGCTCTCCTGGCGTGCAGGACTCAATTCCTTTCTGGCGTTTTGGGGTTGTTTGCAGTCAGCTCAGCCAGCTTCCCTTCAGCCCGCTGCCCCACCGGCGGCTGCTTCTGAGTGCGGGCGCGGCCGCTGTGCTTTTCGGCTTGAGCGTTGCTAATTTGACAGGCCCGTGGCCCGGACTTTTCAGTTCGGCGACTGCGAATCCGCGTTCGCCGGCGACCGAAAAAAAGTATCCCCATCCAGGTTCAGGTGACATGCGCGCTGACCAGCTCTGGCTAGAGTGCTTGCACTTCCAAGGCCTCTGGTTTCCAGACACCGCCACAGCCTGGCCGTGTCTGCCGTTGCCGCCGGCTTGGTGGGACGCTGCCTTATTGGTTTATTCAGGAGTGGTCCCGCCTTCTTGGTCTGCAGCCTAGCACGTTGGACTGCAGCCTAGCAGCCTAGCAGCCTAGCACGTTGGACTGTTTATACAGCCCCGCGCTTCGCCACGCTGGTGGCGCGTCGACCTCTGGCGCCTGGTGCGACAAGGTTTAATGTATCCTCTTCCCGGTGGCCCCGCCTCTGGGTTCCCCGCACGCTGGCCGCCTGGCGTTCCTGGCAGCTTCCGCAGTCTGCCTGCAGCCCCCGGCGCCCCCCCAGCTTCCCTCGGCGGCAGCTTCGGCAGCCGCGAGCGTCCGCTGAGCAATTAGGCTTCGCCCGTAGCCCGGGTTGACCTCTGACGCTGCGTGCGCCTTCGCTCGCGGCTGCGACGGAAAAAGTACGGGGGCGAGAGAGGAATAGACACGCGTAGTCAAACAACGAGGCTATCTTGAGCCATCTTGGAGGTCATCTTGGGCTCTCTGAGGCCGCTCGGGTGCCTCTTGGAGGGCTCTTGGTGGCCTCTTGGGGTGCTCTTTGGGCCCTGTTGGGGGCCATTTGGGAGCCCTGGAGGGCCTCTTGGGATCATCTTAGAGTCGGTCGGTCAAAAGAAGGGGGGGTCCTCGATGGCTTCCCACCCCCCTCGGGGGCCACGATCCTCGTGACGGGTGTCAACATTGGCCCCCCCCACTGGCCGAAAAAGGAGTTTCCGACACCTCGCGACCCCTCAAACAAAAACCTGGGAGGGGAGGGTGAGGGTTGCCCTCGCCGATGCGAAGAGGGGTTGTGGAAGAGGAACGATACCCTCCTTAGACCACCTGTCGTCCAGAGGGCTTGGGGCCATGTTGGAGATCGATCAAAGACGGAGGGAACTTCAATTATTTTCACCCCTCGGGGGCCACCCAAATGTCCTCTTAGGTCCATTTTGGAGCGCTCTCAGAGCGCTCTTGGGCGCGCTTGGGGCCGTCTTGGTGCTCTTTCGGTCCACTCTTGGGGCCCCCTTTTGGGCCACCTTGCAGCCATCTTGAGTCCTCGGAAGGCCGTCGAAAGCAAAAAGCCTGAGACTTCCTTGCAGCACGTTTCGCCCGAGACATCGTCGCAGCTCTGGGGTCCGAGATGCCGCGCGCGAGATGATCCAGCCCGTTACGCTGGAGACATCCTCGCAACTGGGCTCCGAGATGCCGTTCGGGATGAAGAGGAGGTGGGGGAGGACGAGGACGAGGAGGAGGAGGCATGTTCTAACGTGCCGTGCTAGCCCGCACTGGACGGGCGCTCAATCGACCTTGGAAACCGCAGTGGGTTTAAAAACCCTGTTTGGGGATACTGCACTCCGGCTATAATTTTGATGTTGTTTTGGTTTTTGTGGGCCCCCTGCCCAGCCGCGCTGTTCCTGCGGTGCCCGCCGGCCAGCCAGCCGGCGGATTCCGCGCGCTCCGCTCCGCTCCCGTCCAGGCGGGCGGGAGGCAGCCCCCCTAGATGGGGATATAGGCCGTTCCCTTCTGGCTTCGAGGGGTGCATCCCCAACAGGGGGGTAATTCGGCGGGGGTCTCGAAGGGGATTGGGATGGGGATGGGGATCGGTTAACCGACACTCACCAGTCTGTTGGAGGGCCCTTGCGGCGGGTTCCAGCGACCCTGAAGGGGGACCCAGAGGCACCCGGAAGGCCGCGATGGGGCCCGAGGGGCGCACGGAGGCAGGCCGACGACAGTCCCAGTGACGGCTCGAAGAGCACCCTGAGACCGGAGCAGGGGGCAGACACCGTGCCACGCCTTCTTGGGTAGGTGCATCTCTCGAGCTCTCCGCCGCCGCTGGCGGTGCGCGTTGCGGGCAGGAACGCAGCAGAGCCACAGGAAGGCGCGGCATTGAGAGTGTAGCTCCGCACGCGTGCCACATGTTGACGAGCAGGAACACAGCAAAGCCCCAGGAGAGCGAGGCATTGACAGTGTAGCTCAACATCGACACGGTGGTGGCCGGGGAGCAGGGGCAGACACCGTGCCACCTCTGTCTGGTGTTCAGTCGGGCATGTCCCACCACAGGAGGAAGGTTCCAAAAATCGTCCAAAGATACTCTGGGGACGACTTGTTTAGAATCATGTTTGACCATTGTTGGGTATTTTTGGCTACCTTGTGATCTGTCGTCCAAAGTCCGCCTGCAGGAGGACGTGCCCGACCTGGATCTAGTGGCCCTCGGCCCATCCTGCCCCGCCACCGTGCCTGGGTGGTGGACCAGAGGCCGCTCGACTCGCGACGGTCTCCTGGCGCGCCCCCCGGAGGCACCCTGCAGGGCTTCGGGGGGGCCTCCGGTGGGCCTGGCCCCCCCGGGGGGGTTTGCGGGCGGTCTCGGGGTGCATCTCGGAGCGGAGGGCTCGACGTGCCAGCTCGTGGACCCCCTCCTGGGTCCCTCGTGGGGCCCTCGTATGCTGCCCCGGGGGCCTCGAGCGGATTCCTATTTCGTGTCTCTACATTTTCTTCTCTGAGCGATGAATGACGGAGGACTCCCTACCACGTGATACTTGTCGTCCCCAGGGCCCAGGGATCGCAGCATGTTTTGAGGGTCGTCCCCAGCAAGGCGCGTTGGCGCACAGTAGATGCAGATTCCCTTCGCGTGCATCGGGTTGGGGACGTCAATCGGGCTACCCAGAGGATGGAATTTTTGGAGAAGCTGGAGCCCTTCATACAGACCTTCTCGTCCCAGAAGACGTACCGCTTCACCGGACTCTCGCTTTTCGTGTGGTACGACGCCCTCGCTGCTGGCAGCGAGGATCCGAAGTTAGGCATGGCGATGATCGACTTCCCGCACACCCTTGGCAGTCCCAGCGAGGAATACGGCGAGTTGGATTCGGGAGTGCTCAAGGGCCTTACTTCGCTTCGCGACATCGTCACAGCCCTGGATGTTGATCCTGAAACTGATAATCCTGTGAGTGAGGAGCCCGTGAGGGAGGCCTCGTTCCAAGGGGGACACGCAGAAAACCTAATGGATGACGAAGAAGCCTGTGAGTTCAAGAAGACGCACGGCTTGGACCACATGGACCGCTACAGAGTCGAGCTAGATTTCTTGAAGAAGGCAAGGAACGATCCTCTCTGGCGGAAGCTGGTGCCCCAGTACCTGCGCGAAGAACAGCACGGCGGGCGCCCCTTCTTCGTCATGCGCAGCCTCACCTGCGGTATCGAAGACCCCATCATCGCCGACTTCAAGCTGGGCACGCAGTCCTGGAAGCCGGACTTCCACGGCAGGCCCGGGGCCGACGAGGCGAAGCGGGCGAAGATGGACAAGCTCGACCGCGCCTCCACCACCAAGCAGCTCGGCGTCCGCGCCACCAGCATCCAGATGCCTCCTGACTGGGGAGCAAAAAACGGGCGCACCCTCCTCCTCCTCCTCCTCCTCCTCCTCCTCCTCCTCCTCCTCCTCCTCCTCCTCCTCCTCCTCCTCCTCCCCCCCCCTCTGGCAGCAGGAACATGCGCCCTCCGAGCTCCGGACCCCCTCCCGAACCCGCGTGGCGGCGCCTCCCGGTGCGCTCGGCGCGACGGAGGGGGGGGTGGTGCGGAGAGAGGGGACCCAGCGCCGATCCAAGAACCCCGTGCGGGCCGTGAGCGTTGTCATTCGACCAAACTGCAAACGACACCACCCCACCTATGGCCTTCCATGTTGCGCTCCGGCCCATCGGGGGCCGTAGCGTATACCACCCAAAAAACCCACGCCAGATTTCCTGGTATACGCTAAGCCCCCTGGGGCCGTAGGTGGGGTGGTGTCGTTTATTTTCTGGTCCAGTCATGGGGCGCCAACATCGCAGAGCGGATTTCGTCCCGTTGGTGGGGTGGTGTCGTTTATTTTCTGGTCCAGTCATGTGGCGCCAACATCGCAGAGCGGATTTCGTCCGGAAAACGAGAGGATGGGCCTGGAGTGTCCTGGAGAATTTCGCTCCGGATCTCTAGGTTAATTTCGTGCGGATTTTTGCTTGGGCCAGGAATGAGGACTAAACAAAAGATCCACGCGAGATTCGCCTCGTTTTTCACTCGCCGTTTCGGGGTGTTTGTTGCATGGGCAGGAATCCACGCAACAATCCGCTGGAGCACGTCTGCAAGGTCGGTGCAATGAGAGTTGTGCTCCCCATCCGGCAGGTTGGGGCGATCAAGAGTAACTCCTGATCGCCCCAACCCGCCGGGAATTTCAGGACCTGGGGGGCAACTCGAAGTGCCCGCGTTCCGCGCAGCCATGACGAGACCGACGCCGCCCGTTTGCGCGATGCGACTGGCCCCCCCATCTATGGACTCCCCATCAACTCACCACCAAGAGTTGAAGAAGGAGAGCTCGCGAGGCGTTCGCTTAAGTCGGGCCTGTCCTTCTACAGGGGGAATTTTCAAAATCAGGCCGAAATTTGTCTGGGGGCGATTCTTTAGTATTTTTGACCATGTTGGGGTATTTTTTGGGTATCTTGTACTTTTTCGTCCAACATCCGCCTGTCGGGGGACAGGCCCGACCTAAGCGTTCGCTCACCCCGCGTGCGCCGCGGGCACCGGGCCTCGGTGGTCCCAGATGGCCCTCGGCATCCCGCCTCGCGTCGTCGGCACACGGCGGCGGGGCCGATCCAGCATGCCGCGGCCACCGAGCCCCGGTGGTCCGCAGTATCCCGCCGTGGCGCCCCCGACAATCGACGACAGGAACGGTGGCAGGCCCAAACGCAAGGCACACATGTCATACAGACTGGGCATGCGAGCACCATCTGCTTACATATCACACAGGAGTGCATTCAACCAGCATCGTATTCGGCACACCTGAGTAGCAGGCAGATGCAGCACGATTGGGAACACACTCGCAACGCAACCACAACGAGCATCCATGCATGAACATGTTCACACGACACGTAGCGTGCTTGAATCATTTTCGAATGGTATACGTCCCAAAATGACACACACACACGAGACATCGTTCAACAACCATGCTGTCCTTACATAAGCAGCACGCGTACATTGCAGTCGCTGGCAGCACTAAGCAAGGAGCAGTCGTACGTGCTATAGGCGGAGCCATGAAGAGCAGGCGTACATGTCTCACGTAATGGGCATGCATGAACCATCTATGTACATGTAATGTAACAGTAGCATACAGCCCAGGCACGGTGGCGGGATGTACCGAAGGCTCTTCGATACGGTGGCGGGATGTACCGAAGGCTCTTCGATACATCCCGCCACCGTGCCTGGGCTGTAGGCCAGAGGTCTCTCGGATGCATGTTAGGGTTTCTTGTGGTGCCTCTCGGGGGCCTCTTGGAGGCAGTTTTGAGCCTCGTGGGGGCCTCTTTGGGGCCCCTTTCGGGCCTCCTGGGGGACTCCTGAGGCCTTTGGGGGGCTTCTCGGGGCTGGAGGGCCTCTTGGGGGTCTGCTGGCGGTCTCGGCGTTTATCTTGGGACAAGCATGTGTACGAACATCCATGTACACATACTGTAATACTAGTCTTACACAGCACGCACATCCATAGCGTATATGGATGACGTGCACGTTTAACATAGTGGAATGCTGGAATGCACTGCAAACATGCGGCAGGAGGCATGCAATACGCGTATTAAGCACCATTGGCTCAGTCACAGCGAGAGCATGTAGCAGAGCACGCGTATTTCTCACCTACCTTACCATGAGCAAAGCTTTCGGCACACCCAGCATGCACAACGAACACTTAATTGTCAAACGTAGCGCACTTGCAAACATAGCTTTCATAAGGGTAGTATATACATGCATCACAATCACACGTGCGTATCGCATATTTTAGTGTCGAAGACGCGTACGGCGAATCACCGCTGCCCCTTGCCTTCTAGGATACGCCTATGCGGCCAAACGTTTGGGCAAAGTTTGGCCATGCTATTGGACCATGCGTTCCCCCAGCCGTTGTGGCAGCCCTTCGGGGAGCACGTGAGGAGGAAGAGGAGGATGAGGAGAGGGAGGCAAAAGGAGGACGAGAAGAGGGATGAGGAGACCTCCTGGGAGCTTCTTCTTGGATCCTTCTTGGGGTCTCCTGGGGGCCTTTTGGGCTGCGAGGGCCTCGTTGGCCGTCTTAGGCCGTTCTTGGCCCGCCTGACGCCGTCGGAAGCCGTTATTGGGGGCCTCTCTGAACCAACTTGGGGCCCTCCTGGGGCGCTTCAGGGCCGTAGTGGAGGCCATCATGGGCGTCTTGGAGGTCTCTTGGGCCGTCTTCAGGCCCTCTTGGGGCCGTCTTGGAGGCTTCTTGGGCCGTCATGGTGTCATCTTGGAGGTCTTTCGGCCCATCTTGGGGCGATCTTGGGGCCTTCTTGGGCTCTCTTGGGCTGTTGGAAGGCCGAACAGACGCAAATGACGAAATCTTTCAAACACCGTCGGAAAATCACTGATTTTGGCCTCCTGGAGGACCTATTTGAGTCTTCTTGAGCTATCTTGAATACCTCTTGTGGGCCTCTTGGGCCGTCTTGGAGGCTTCTTGGGCGAACTTGGAGGCTTCTTGGACTCTCTTGGGCCGTCTTGGAGGCCATCTTGGACAATCTTGAGCGATCTTGGAGGCCATCTTGGCCGTCTTGGAGGCCATTTTGGGTCATCTTGGAGCTATCCGGAGTGGAAAGACCCTTGCCAAGAGCTTTATGGGTGGCCAGCGCGCTGGGCCGAAGCTCCAGGGGGAGTCTCAAAAAGAACCAGAGACCTCCTTAACCTCAGCACGCCAGGAACCCCTGTGATAGATCAACAGGGGTCGGCGGATAGGAAGACGCCCACGGTAAATCACCGCTGCCCCCTGCCTTCTGGAATCGCCCATGTAGCCGAGCGTTGTGTCAAGAGCTTTACTAAGCTATCGGACCATGTGTTCCCCCAGCCGTTGCAGAAACCCTTCGGAGAACACTTGGGGGAGGATGGCGGGGAAGATCAGGAGGAAGATCAGGAAGAAGAAGAAGAAGAACAGCCATAAGGTCAAGTCACATGACTACACAATAGGAAAAGACAAACGGTTAGGGCAAGGCGGGAGGCGTGGGCGTTCCTCGCCTGGCCTCCTCCTTAGCCCTTATCCTGTCGAACAGCGCCGACAGGCGGCGCTCGTAGGACGGCGGCTCCTGAGCGGGGCGCTCCTGAGGCGCCGAGGAACCTTCCTGCGGCGCGGACGTGCTCGTCGTCGTCGTGGTCGCCGCCGCCGCCGCCGCCGTCATCCGCACCCTAGTGACCACCCGAGCCTCTGCCCGAGTGGTTGCCTGGATCTCCACCTGGCTGAACGGAACCACTCGATCGATGGCCGATCGAAGCCGTGGATTGGGACCAAGCCCTTTCCTGAAAGCCTGGAGAATTTCAATCCCCTTCTTTGTGGGGGGGAGGCATACTTTGCCCAACTTGGCCCCGCGGCCCTGAGACCACCCCCCACATTGAACACAGAGGAACTGCTGGACCGCTCGCCTCGTGGGGATCCCAGGGATCTGAGAGCCACCTCCAGCAACCGAGCCCTGGACCGCAACAACCTGGTGACCCTTGGCATCCCCGAGAAGCTTGCGCAAGAATGCAGGGGTGCCCTTGCAGCCGTCCATCGGCGGCGAGTCCCCAGGAGGCGCAACAATCAAACACTGCTTGCACTGGAGGCCCACCGACGTGGAGGCCCATTCATGAAAACTACTGCACCGCTTATCCTGGGGCCGCCTGCTACGGGGAGGCCTGGACCACCTCTTGTCATTCTGAAAACACGGAAGCACTGCTGCAGCCAGTTTTATAAACCTGGTGGCCTTGACCTCTGCCTCTTCGACCTTCTCCAAGAAACTGGGGTCTGGGCGAGCATGCATAGTCAAGGCGATTTTGGCGTGAGCATCTGCGGCTTTATTCGCCTGAGCATACCTCAACTCGTCACCCTGCAACACAGCGATGGCCTCATCCGACCTGTGAGCTTTCACATGCCGCGTGAGGCTTATATTCGACGTGCCTGGGAGTGACTGAGCAAACAGGCGAACAGCAGCATACTTATTTGAGGACCGTGTCTGTGCCTCAAGAGTCTTCTGAGCCGTGGTTACAACAGCGAGGCAATCTAAACCGACATGGGTCTCGCGATCTGAAACTTGCCCTGCTAAGGCATAGGCTAGGTGCTCCGCAAAAGCAGGGGTCTGGGGGAGGGAGCCAGCCACGGGGCCTCGAAGGACAGCCAGGACATCTTCGCTCTCGGGCCGCAACAGGGCAATGGCCCAAGCCGCCCTCCGAAGACATCTCAACGCTTGTTTCGTACATGACCCATCTGCGGCTAACTCCATCAATTGATGCTCCCCCAGAAGCTGTCCCACCTGCTCGGGAGTCTGAGGGATCTCTTCGCCATCACCCCCCACAACGCAACAATCA